GGGGGGGGGGGGGGGGAGCAGGGACAGGAAGAACCACCAACCAACTGTACCATCAGGCCTTTGCATCTGACTCCCCCCAAGCACTGAGCAGGTTGTACACATGGGTCTGTAAGAGCCCAGTCACTGCAGAAGTCACACAGTGCCATTTGTTCTAAGGAGCTGTGACTATTAAACCACAGTAGCTGGTCCCAATGTAGCTTGCTCAGCACCACATCCAGACAGCTACAGGCTGCCCTTGCCATTGGCATCCTTTCCCTTAAGGACCCTCTTCCTCCCCAGAACCCTCTTCATGCCCACATAAGGCTTGGCATAGAGGTATGAATCTAGTAAAGACCAAGAACATGCATGACAGCTCTGTGTGTGGTTAGCATGAAACTGGAGAAGCACTTGGGCTGTCAAATATATTCTGGGGTAATCATTTCTTCTATGTGGAAACTATTTATCTGAGTTGCCTGGGCAGGGGCAGAGGTCAGGTGTGGGCTCAGTGGGACTTAATGGCCAGCCAGCCTAGCCTAATCAGGGAGTTCCATGTTCAGGGATACCCTGTCTCAAAAACTAAGATTAACAGTAATAGAAGACAACACCCAATGTCAACCTCTGGCTTACATACCCACTCGAAAACACAAGAATAGGTGCACACATATACACATGTATGCAGGCTTGCAAAGGCAACACACACACACACACACACACACACACACACACACACACACACACACGCTGCTACTACTACTTACATTAGATAGGAACAGTGTACTTTTATAACATTTTAGGATATAGCACCAAAACAAGGGCTTTCAATTCTGCTTTCTCTACACCGTTATGAGTGGCTTATAACTCAGAGTGTCCCTTCTCTTTTTCCCCCCTTTACAAAGAGGATTAGGAGAGACATGCTGGTAGAACACTCATATACATAAGATAAGGCTTAAAAAAAAAAAACCAAAAACTCACAGGATCAATCAGGAAGCAGTGCAAAGCCATGTGTAGTTCCCACCCCAAGCATTGCCATCATGGATGCCCAAACACACCACCCTTGTCCTGATAGACACCACCGGGCGAGGTGTGCAGCCA